TGTGCTCTGTGGCTGTTGATTAAACCGCTCCCCAAACAGCCACCGTTCATCTGGCTTCCTGCCCTCTGGTTGTCAATCGTCCGGAGGGCTGCTGTCATCCGCCTGACTTATGTCTGAATGGCGTCCTCGGACATGTTACAGAGGGATGCCTGGGCCAGATTAAGAGTGTGTGAACAGGGACCCCTTCCAAACTGCAGGAGGAGGCTGGTTCCTGACCCTCCTGGCACAGTTGTTCATTCCCTTCCCAGAACATCTACACCTCTTGTCACGGCAGCTGCACGGTTCATATTGTCTCCCTCACTGGATGGCTGGGGTGTAGCCTGGCCTCGTGTGTTGGTGCATTTGCTATCATTTGGAACCCCAGCATTCAGTAGGCTAAGGCTGCCTGAGCTCCATAGTGACTTTAAGGCTAGCCTAGGCTACATAGCAAGACCCTGTCTTAAAGAACCAATGGGGTTCAGTTGGTAGAATGCTTGCTTCACATGCGTGAAGCTGTGGGTTCCATTCCCAGCAGTGCATAAGCCAGCTGTGCATGGTGGCACATACTCATGGCAGCACTCGGCAGCCAGGAGGATCAGAAGTTCAAGGTGTTGCTTGGCTAGTTAGCAGGTTTGAGGCTAGCCTGGGCTACTTGAGACTCTCTCCTCACAAATAACAAAAACCAAGGGCGTTCTCTGCACTTTGAGCCTGCCCTGTGAGGACCAGTTTCCTTAGTCCGGTGACTGCAGGTGTGACCTGGAGTTGGAGTCACATTTGTGCTGTGGTGATGCCGCACCTGACAGGAGCAGCTGAGAGAGGAGGAGAGGCTGAGCAGGCTCATGGGTCCGAGGGCGTTGGCCCATCCTTGGGGGGTTGGCCTGACAGGGCTGCTTAACTCATACAAGGCAGGTTGTGATGGAGGCTGCTCATGGTAGAGAGGACGCTGAGGGAAGCAGGAGTGTGCGTCAGACAGACCTTTAAAGGCCCACCCCTCAAGGTCTCCCTCCAGCCGGGTCCCACCTGTGAAGGTCCCCTAACCCCTCAGAACAGCACTGCCTGGGACATGGGTCTGTCAGGGATGTTTCACTGTCACCCCATAACAGTGCTCCAGTTACGAAAGCCTCCCCAACAGGCCATCCTCAGGTGTGGGCTTGGGAAAGGGCAGAATGCCCCGTCTCAACTGTTCAGCAGCCAGAAACCTCAAGCCTGCCAGCTCCACATCAGCTCAGTCGTGTGTCCCCTCGCGGTGTCCCTTTCCTGAGCCTCCATGCCCCCAGCTGCTTCTCCCTGGCCAGTGTGGCTACTCAGACCCCTACACACCATAGTGTGACAGATGGCCTGGGGCCCAGGGGCTTGGCCAGTTCTCGTCCCCTTGCTGTTGACGGAGGTTGACTGTTCGCATGGAGTGGTGGCCTAGCGTCTTGCCAACTTCCATGATGACCAGGATGACAGCCGCAGAGGCTGTGCTTCCGGTCTCCATTCTGTGCTGGCCTCTTTCTTGATTACTACAGTCTGATGGCTTTTTCTGGAAGGTTTGCTATGCAGATCTCAACTTTGTCTGATTGTGAGTGCTGCCTTCTGGGCTGGGATGTAGCTTGGTGGATAGATGCTTGCCCAGTATGTCTAAGGAAGACGCTGGGTTCCACTTACAGCACTGCCGAACAACCCAGGATATATAAAGAACTGAGAAACTAAGAAATGAAAACAGCGTAAGGGGTAGATGAGCTCATGAAATAAATAGACTGCCCTCTATGATGAGAGACAGGCGGTAGAGATGAAGAGCGTTCACAGGTTGTCGGGGAAGCGAGGCTGGGGTGTGGCGCAGGTAGAGTGCTTGCCGTTACGAGGCCCTGGGTTCGAACAGCAAGAGCCCATGTTGAGATTCTGCCTCACCCCAGCCGGTCAAAACAAGTGCTGGCTGGGGTGGGTGACATGGAGCTCTCACTGCTTGTGGGAGCGCAAGCCATCCCAGCCTCTGTGGAAGTGGGACAGAAGGTTCTCGAGAAATTGCTGTTAGGTCTTCCACACCAGCTGGGTCTGGGGTAACTCTGCCTCGTGAGCACTTCCCTCAAGTCCTGGACGCCAGCGTTCCTCAGGAGCTCCCGCACGATGACGGCAGAGCATGGAACTACCCCGGGTGTCCAGTGACAGCCGAGTGGGGGAGGAAAATACAAACATACAGTGGAGTTGTCTCCAGTCATAAAGAACGAAACCGTGTTTACAGGAAAGTTGTTGCAGCTAAGCCTGGCTGAGACATGAAACACGTAGCCTCTCATTTGTGGTTCCCAGATTTTATAGACATGATCAGACGTGAAACTATCCAGAAGGAGGAAGAATAACAGGAGGAGAAGGGGAGGCGGGCTGGGTGCGTGTGGCAAGTGTGCTCTCATACAAGGCCCGCGTGTTTGGGACTGGTGGGATGGTTCAGCGGCTAGAGGTGCCGCTAGCCTGATGACCTGAGATCCATGTGGTAGGCGAACGACCCCTCAGGTGTCTGACCTCTCCTGCAGGTCAGAGCAAGGTGTGTGTGTGTGAGGGAGAGAGAAGGATGGATCTTAAACCTTGTGCATGTGCCAGGACTCCCGAGAAGCTCCGGGAGTCCTGGCACAGAGCCTTCTTCACCTTTGGTGGATGGAGCTGCGGTGTCTGGAGCTGGTGGCTTTCCCTCCACTTGAGGTGCTTCCCAGCCAGCGCTTCTGTGTTCGAGCTGCTGAATCCATTAGACACTCTGGGGCTCCAGCCCAGCCAAACCCTGTCCAGGGTGCTAGGGATTTGGACACAGCTGCCCCCCATCCCTGCTCCCCTGTGGAGGCAGCTGCCCAGTGCAGACAGGGCAACAGCGGTCTCTGCAGGATGGTCTTGCAAAAGCCTTGTGTGACACCTGCCGGCGGAGGCTCCAGCCACCTTCCCATCTCTAGCTTACTTATTTTGTCATCAGTGGTCTTCGGGTCTGCTTGGCCAGTGCTGCAGGAGACCTGTGCACCTGCGTTGCTCCTGTTTTCTTTCTTTCTTTTTTTTTTTTTTTTAGCCACATGTATCTGCAGGATGCTTGGCCACATGACTTGCTGGGTGAGATCTGGGCTTGCGTGTGTACCTTAGGCGTCCTCACTTGTTCTTTGGGCCGAGTCGCCTCTCTGCCTCAGCTCGCTCCCGTCAGTGGCTCCAACAGCCTTGCTTCCCTGACCGGCCCTAGATCCTCCAGCCTGCAGCCTCATCTGCCACTCAGCCCCCTGTGCCTCTGCCCCTGCACAGTGGCTCCTGGATCATTGCTCTAGAAATACTGTCATTGGTCCAGCCTTAGGACAGGGTCCTGCTCTGCACCATCCCCCACCTTACCATTCCTGCCCCTTCGGCCTGCCCTAGAGGTAGCCCTGGAGTAAGACACCCACCTGCAGCTACATCTGTTCGCTCCGGACCTTCAGTCTGTCCCCCCCCCCCCCACGGCATTCCTCACCCTCTGTCCATCCCATCGTGGGCTTCCAACACCAGAGCTGACCCCATTGCTGCCCTCTCATGGCTTCCAGCACCCACAGGACAAACTCAGCTCACTCACCTTGGCCCGGCATTTGATGCCCATAATCAGTGCATCAGGCCAGGCTTCTTAAACTCTGTCTCCTTCCACAGTCACTGTGTCCACTTAGCTGGTCCCAGCTCAGCCCTTGGTCCTCTCCTGGACCTCACCAGCTTGTTGGCCTCAGGCATAAGCTGGAGGTGGGTCAGGGGGTAGACTCTCCCTCTTTCCTTGGCCCATGCATGGATGCCCTTCTCTTTTCCCCAGGAAGTTTCCCCTTTCTGGCTTCTAGCTTCAGGCTGCCACTTCTTCTGCCCTCGGCTACTTTGATATCTTGTGTGACTCTGCTGCCCCATTGTAGCTGCTGAAATTCTGGAGGCTCCAGGGAAATACTCTGACCAGAGCAGGGGCCATTCTTGGGCTCCTAGCTGTTCCCAACTGACCTGGCTAGTTCTAGTCAGCTTGATATAAACTAGAGTCATCCGAAAGGAGGAAACCTCAACTGAGAAAATGCCTTCATAAGATCCGGATGTAGGACATTTTTTTCTTTTTCTCTCCCACCTCCGACAGGGTTTCTGTGTGTATTCCTGGCTGTTCAGGAACTCACTCTGTAGAACAGGCTGGCCTCGAACTCAGAGATCCGCCTTCTCATTAAATGTGTGCACCACCGCCAGCTGGCTGAATTGTCTTAATTAGTTGTTGATGGGGAGGCACAGCTCATTGTGGGTGGTGCCATCCCTGGGCAGGTGGTATTGGGTGCTCTAAGAAGGCAGGCTGAACAAGCCGTGAGGAGCACACCAGTAAGCAGCTCCCTTCCATGGCCTCTGCATCAACTCCGGCCTCCAGATTCTCTCCCTGTCCCGAGTTCCTTCATGGTGGACTACAATGTGGAAGTGTGAGCCAAATAAACCCTTTCCTCCCCAACTTCCCTTTGGCCATGGTGATTTCATCACAGCAACAGAAACCCTAACTGGGACCCCCACCATCGCTTGCACCCACCTTCCGTTCAGCGAGACCATGGGCTGTGCCCAGACCTGCAGCGGGTTTGCGTGGTCAAAGACCCGTTTCCATTCTACCCCTGGTGTGCCGCGTCCACCCTGGAAGTCACGCTGTCCTGCTGACTCAGTGTAAGGCTCAGGTGTAAGGCTCCATAGTCAGAGCCGGCTTGAAGCCAGTGTAGCAGACTTGTAATTCCAGCACTGAAGGAGTAGAAGCAGGAGGCTCGGGGTCAAGGTCACCCTTGATTACATAGGGAGTTCAAGGCCAACCTGGGTAGCATGAGACCCTGTCTCAGACAAACACTTGCTGTCAGTGTTTCTGTATTAGGAGTAAAAGTGTTCATTTTTACAGAATTTTCCATATCCCTTCCTCCACAGCTTCCCTCACCCTGACTGTCCTTTATTGGGGACAAATTTCAGTGCCTAATGCAGCTGGGTTGCAGTTTCACTCTGGGCCAGGAGGTGGTGACAGTCCCATTAGCTACACACACACACACACACACACACACACACACACACACACACACACACACACGATCTGCTGTGTTGAGCAGTGTTGGTCCTTCAGGCAGGTGAGTCCTAAGAAGCCTCTGTCCTAGCAGCTGCTGGTCTTCAGTGTCCTGCAGGTGTTGTACAGATGTTTTCATCTGGAAAACTGAAGTCAGCTGAGGCCTTCCGTTGCTGATGCCTGAAGAGGGTGGAGGGCCTGGCAGGGGACAGAGCAGTCTCACCACCCTTCACCAAGCTCAAACTTGAGTCTCAGAGCCCATCCCTGGACACCCAGGATCTCATGCTGTTCTGGCCCCCCAACTTACACACCGTGTCTGTGGGCAGCTCTCCTCGTTCTGAGCTGATTCTTTGCTTCGTGCCTTCAGGGCCTGGTTCCTCCAGGAAATGTCCAGCGTCCAGAACAGACAGAAAAAAGGAGTGTCACAAAGACCCTGCCCCACACCTGGACTCTGGCTTGGTAGCCATGCTTCCTGCCATGACCTTTTGTGGCCACTGGTGGCCCACCTCCCTCCCAGAGTCTGGGAACCTCCCAGCACCAGCAGAGGAGTCCACTTAGAGGCCCTTGGGGTTGAGAGCTGGGGGAGAAGGGGGTGAGGGAGGGAGTGCAGAGGAGAGGGAATAAAGAGGAAGAGAAGAGGAGGGAGAGAGGTCAAAGGGCAAGAGAAGGAGGAGAGAAGAATGGGCAGGGCTGGGGGACGGGTCTATCAGTGAAATGCTTGTTGTGCAGCAGGGAGACCCATGTTTGAGTTCCCGTACCACACACCAGCCTGGCACGTGCCTGTAACCCCGGTGCTGGGGAGGTGGAGACCAGTGGATTCCCAGGGCTTGCTGGCTGGCCAGCCTCACCAAATCAGCAAGTTACAAGTTCAGTTAAAGTGGGGAACTGGCCGTGATGGCGCACACCTTTAATCCCAGCACTCAGGAGGCAGAGGCAGGTGGAGCTCTGAGTTCAAGGCCAGCCTGGGCTACAGAGTGAGTTCCAAGGCAGTTAGGCTACACAGAGAAACCTGCCTCAAAAAACCAGCCAATAAACAAAACAAACAAACAAACAAACAAACAAACAAACAGAATAAGATTAAGGAGAACAACAGAGGAGACACCAGATGTTGACTTCTTAGCCCCCCACACATGAACTCACAAGTGAGTACACTATAAACACACATGCACATACAAACTAAAAAAAAATTTAAATGGGTGATACCTAAGGTTGACTTCTGTCCTATAACACACACACACACACACACACACACACACACACACACACACACACCGGAGGAGATAGGAAGAGTGCAAGAAAGAGAGGTGGGAAAACCAGGAGGACCACAGGAGTGCAAGGGACAGAGTAGAGTACCACGAGGGACACCAGAGAGGGGCTGAGCTGGAAAGGAGAAGGGAGAAGCGATCAGCATCATGGGACAGGACAGAGAGGTGAGAAGGAGAGACTGAAAAGCCAAGGTAAGAAAGGGAGGGAAGTGATCAAGGAAGATAAACAGCGGAGATGCCAAGGGAGGTGGGGGCAACTTGTAAGTTTAAATGAGGAGGGAGGGAATATCAGGACGGGGCTTACAGTGCTGGTGGGAGAGCCCGGGTACAGAGAAAGAGGAGGAAGAGAGTGGTGGTAGGGAACAGAACAGAGGCAGATTCCAGAAGGACCAGTGAGAGCAAGAACAGAAAGGAAACAGGGCAGAGAGCCCCAGAAAGCGGGGAATGGGAAGCCTAGGGAGGGGAAGGAGGTGTGAGTGGAGAAAAGAGCAAGGAAGACATGGCAGGTAGAGGAGGTGAGGGGAGTGGAATGTACTGAACACCCTTGATCACATTCCTTATGGGACTCAGAGCCAGACAGGACAGGACTGTGTGGGGGTACCCAGGAGGACATCAAACCCTGGGTATCCTGTCTCCGCATCCTCTGAGGCAAGGACCGGTCTAGAGACCCAGCACAGGTGAGAGGGAAGGGTTCAGAGGGAAAGGGGGAAAGGCTGAAAACAGGTGAGAAGGAAAAACAGGAGTCAGGACAAGGCAGGAAGGTGCTGTGGAACGGGAGTACTATGATGGAGAAATAAGCAGGGGATGGTGGTGCACACTTTTAATCCCAGCACTCAGGAGGCAGAGGCGGGCGGGTTTGAGTTCGAGGCCAGATTGGTCTACAGAGTAAGTTCTAGGACAGGCAGGACTCTTACACAGAGAAACCCTGTCTCAAAAAACCAAAAGGAGACAAAGAAATTAGAGTGTGTCTAAGATATGGAGCAGAGGGAGATAGAGAGATAAAGAAAGTTGTGAAGGTGCCATAGATAATGAGAGGAAGAGGGGGAGAGAGATGGGAAGAGAAAGCGAGGCACTGAAGCAGGGGACTAGGAGGTGACGGCCGAGGAGGAGGCTGCAGAGTAGAAAGAGTTGCAGAGAGGATGAGAAGGAGAGGAGAAGGGAGGACAAAGGCGGAAGAAGAGATTGTAGAAACAGAGGAAGAGAGGAAGACAAAAGGAGGAAAGGAAGAGGGACAAGATGGAGGGGTGCAAACAGAGAGGTGAGGAGACGGGAGTAGGTGGGAAGGAGGAGCAGGATGAAGAAGAGGAGAAAGAGAAGAGGAGGGAGAAGGAGGGAGTGTGGCGGAAAGGGGACAGAAGAGAAGGAGAGGAGGAAAACAGGTGTTTGAATGGATAGAAGAAAGGTCACTAAGGAAACAGAGGAACAGGAGAAGCAAGGGGCCGAGCAGAGTGCAACAGGAAGCTAATAGGAAACAGGAGACAACAACAACAAAGGAGCAAGAAGAAGAGGAGGGAGACAGAAAAGAGAAGTGAAGGAGAGGAAGTGTAGAGGAGCAAGGAGCAAGGAAAAGCAGGAGAGAAGAAAGGAAACTAGAGACACAAAGGAAATGCAAGAGGAAAAGGAGATGGAGGAAGGCCAAGAGGATGAGAAGGGAAGGAAGGAAGGAGGACAAGGCTAAGAAGGAGAAGGCTGGGTGGGAGGAGGGAGGAGTAAGAGAAGGAACGGGAAAAGGAGGAGGGTGAGTTAGGAGAGGAGAGGGAGGAAAGGAATAAGCAAGGAAAGATAGAACGCTAAAGGAAGAAAGGAAGAAGAGAAAATACAGAAGATAGAGAGGAAGCAGAAGAAGGAACAAAGGAAAGGAGACAAAAAGAAGATGGAGAGAAAGAGGATGAAGAGGAGGGGATAGAGGAGATGGAGGAGGAGGGAGAGAGGGGATAGAGTAGTGGATGAAGAAGAGGAGGAAGAAGAGGTTTTAGAGTAGATTGAAGAGGAAGAGGAGGTGATAGAGTAGATTGAAGAGCAAGAGGAGATGATAAGATAGATGAAGGAGGAAGAGGAGGAAGAGGAGGATATGGAGTAAATGGTGGAGGAAGAAGAGGTGATAGAGAAGATGGAGGAGGAAGAAGGTGAAATAGAATAGGTGGTGGAAAGAGGATGAAGAGGAAGGTATAGAGTAGATGGTAGAAGAAGAGGAGGAAAAGGAGAGGATAGAGTAGATGGAGTAGGAAGAGGAGGGGATAAAGTCGATGGAGGAAGAAGAGGAGGGGATGGAGTAGATGGAGGAGGAAGAAGAGACGATATAGAAGATGGAGGAGGAAGAGAGGGGATAGAGTAGATGGAGGAAAAAGTGGAGGGGATAGGGTAGATGAAGGAGGCAGAGGAGGGGATAGTGTAGATGGAGGAGGAAGAGGAGGTGATAGAGTACATGGAGGAGGAACAGGAGAGCATAGTGTAGATGAAGGAGAAAAAGGAGTAAGAGGAGAGGATAGAGTAAATGGAGGAGAAAGAATAGGTGATGGAGTAGATGGAGGAGGTAGAGGAGGGGATAGAGTAGATAGAGGAGAAAGAGGAGGGGATGGAGTAAATGTAGGAGGAAGAGGAGGTGATAGAAGATGGAGGGAGATGAGGAAGAGATAGAGTAGTTGCAGGAGGAAGAGGTGGGGATAGAGTAGATGGAAGAGGAAAAAGAAGAGGAGCAAAGAGAGTAGATTGAGGAGAAAGAGGAGCGACAGGTTAGGTGGAGGAGCAAGAGAAGGAAGATGAGGGTATAGAGTAGATGGTGGAGGGAAAAGAAAAAAGAAGCGGATAGTGTAGATGGATGAGTAAGAGGAGGGGATAGAGTAGATGGAGGAGGAAGAAGGGGAATAGAGTAGTGGAAGGAAGAGGAGAAAGAAGAGGTTTTATAGTAGATAGAAGAGGAAGAGGAAGTGATAGAGTTGATGGAAGAGTAAGAGGAGGAGATAGAGAAGATGGAGGAGGAAGAGGAAGGTATGGAGTAAATGGTAGAGGAAGAAGAGGTGTTAGAGTAGATGGAGGAGGAAGAGGGTGAGATAGAATAGATGGTGGAAGAAGAGGATGAAGAAGAGGGTATAGAATAGATAGTGGAAGAAGAGGAGGAAGAGGAGAGGATAGAGTAGGTGGAGTAGGAAGAGGAGGGCAAAGATGGAGGAGGGAGAGGAGGGGATGGAGTAGATAGGGGAGGAAGAGATGATATAGCAGATGGAGGAGGAACAGGGGGCATAGAATAGATGGGGGAGAAAGTGGAGGGGATAAAGTAGATGGAGGAGGCAGAGGATGGGATAGAGTAGATGGAGGAGAAAGCGAAGAGCATAGACTAGATGAAGGAGAAAGAGGAGAAAGAGGAAGTCATAAAGTTGATGAAGGAGCAAGAGGAGAAAAGGGAGAGGATAGAGTAGAGGGAGGAGGAAGAGGAGGGGATAAATTAGATGGAGGAGGAAAAGGAGGGCTGGAGTAGATGGAGCAGGAAGAACAGAGGATAGAGTAGATGGAGGAAGAAGAGAAAATGAAGTAGATGGAGTTGGAAGAGGAGACCAAAGAGTAGATGGAGGAAGAGGAGGTGATAGAGTAGATGGAGGAGGAAGAGGGGGTGATTGAGTAGATAGAGGAGTGGAGGAGGAAGAGGTAGGGCAGGATAGATTGTGGAGGAAGAGGAAGGTATAGAGTCGATGGGGTAAGTAGAGGAGAGGATAGAGTAGATGGAGGAGGAAGAGGGGGGGAAGAGTAGATGGATGAGGAAGAGGAGGGAATAGAATAGATTGTGGAGAGAAAGGAGGTGATAGAGTACATGGAGGATGAAGAGCAGAGCATAAGTAGATGGAGGAGAAAAAAGAGTAAGAGGAGGGGATAGAGTAGATGGAGGAGAAAGAATAGGTGATGGAGTAGTTGGAGGAGGTAGAAGAGGGGATAGAATAGATAAAGGAGGAAGAGGAGGGGATGGAGTAGATGTAGGAGCAAGAGAAAGAAGAGGAGGGGATAGAACAGTTGGAGGAGGAAGAGGAGAGGATAGAGTAGATGGTTAGGAAGAGGAGGTGATAGAGTAGATGGAGGGGGAAGAGGAGAGAATAATGTAGTTGGAGCAGGAAGAGGAGGAGATAGAGTAGATGGAGGGAGATGAGGAAGAGATAGAGTGGTTGGAGGAGGAAGAGGTGGGGATAGAGTAGATGGAAGAGGAAGAAGAAGAGGAGCAATGGGAGTAGATTGAGGAGAAAGAGGAAAGGTAGATTAGGTAGAGGAACAAGAGAAGGAAGATGGGTGTATAGAGTAGATGGTGAAGGGAAAAGGAGGAAGAGAAGGGGATAGTGAAGATAGAGAAGGAGGGAGAGACGATATAGTAGATTGAGGAGGAAGAGGAGGAGATAGAGTAGATGTTGGAGGAAGAGGAGGAGATACACTAGATGGAGGAGGAAGAGGATGGGATAGAGTAGATGGAGGAGAAAGTGGAGAGCATAGACTAGATGGAGGAGAAAAAGGGGGGAAAGGAAGTCATAGAGTAGATGGAGGAGGAAGAGGAGAAAGAGGAGAGGATAGAGTAGATGGTGGAGTAATAGGAGATGATAGAGTAGATAAAGGAAGAAGAGGAGGGATAAATTAGATGGAGGAGGAAGAGAAGGGGTGGAGTAGAAGGAGCAGGAAGAACACAGCATAGAGTAGATGGAAGAGGAAAAGGAGGGAATGGAGTAGATGGAGTAGGAAGAGGAGAGCAAAGAATAGATGGAGGAAGAAGAGGATGGAATAGAGTAAATAAGGTAGGAAGCAGAGGTGATAGAGTAGATGATGGAGGAAGCATGGTAATAGAGTAGATGGAGAAGGAAGAGGGGGTGATTGAGTAGATAGAAGAGTGGAGGAGGAAGAGGAGGGGCAGAGTAGACTGTGGAGGAAGAGGAAAGGATAGAGTCGATGGAGTAAGTAGAGGAGAGGATAGAGTAGATGGAGTATGAAGAAGGGGGATAGAGTAGATGGATGACGAAGAGGAGGGGATAGAATAGATTGTGGAGAAAGAGGAGGTGATAGAGTAGATGGAGGTTGAACAGGAGGTTATAGAGTAATGGAGGAGGAAGAGGAGAGCATAGAGCAGATGGAGGACAAAAAGGAGTTAGAGGAGGGGATAGAGTGGATGGAGGAGAAAGAATAGGTGATGGAGTAGTTGGAGGAGGTAGAGAAAGGGATAGAGTAGATACAGAAAGAAGACGATGGGATGGAGTAGATGTAGGAGGAAGAAGAGGATGGGATAGAGTAGTTGGAGGAGGAAGATGAGGGGATACAGTAGATGGTGGAGGATGAGGAAGCTATAAAGTAGATGAAGGAGGAGGAGGGGATTGAGTAGATGCAGGAGGAAGAGGAGGAGATAGAGTAGATGTTTGAGGAAGAGGAGGAGATAGAGTAGTTGGAGGAGAAAGCGGAAAGCATAGACTATATGGAGGAGAAAAAGGGGGAAGAGGAAGTCATAAAGTTGATGAAGGAGCAAGAGGAGAAAGGGGACAGGATAGAGAAGATGGAGGAGTAATAGGAGACGATAGAGTAATTGGAGGAGGAAGAGGAGGGGATACATTACATGGAGGAGGAAGGAGGGGTGGAGTAGATGAAACAGGAAGAGCAGAGCATAGAGGAGATGGAAGAGGAAGAGGAGGGAATGGAGTAGATGGAGTAGCAAGAGGAGAGCAAAGAGTAGATGGAGGAAGAAAAAGACGGGATAGAGTAAATGGAGGAGGAAGCTGAGGGATAGAGTGGATGACGGAGGAAGCATGGTGATAGAGTTGATGGAGGAGGAAGATGCGGTGATTGAGTATATAGAGTGGAGGAGGAGGAGGGGCAGAGTAGATTTTGGAGGAAGAGGAAGGGATAGAGTCGATGGAGTAAGTGGAGGAGAGGATAGAGTATTTGAAGGAGGAAGAGCCGGGATAGAGTAGGTGGATGAGGAAGAGGAGGGGAGGAGTAGATCGAGGAGGAAGAGGAGAGCATAGAGTAGATGGAGGAGGAATAGCAGAGCATAAAGTAGATGAAGGAGAAAAAGGAGTAAGAGGAGGGGATAGAGTAGATGGAGGAGAAAGAATAGGTGATGGAGTAGTTGGAGGAGGTAGAGGAGGGATAGAGTAGATAGAGAAGGAAGAGGAGAGGATGGAGTAGATGTAGGAGGAAGAGGAAGAAGAGGAGGGGATAGAGTAGTTGGGGGAGGAAGAGGAGAGGATAGAGTAGATGGAGGAGAAAAAGGAGTAGGAGGAGGTAATAGAGTAGATGGAGGAGGAAAAGGAGGTGATAGAGTAGATGGAGGGGGAAGAGGAGAGGATAATGTATTTGGAGCAGGAAGAGGAGGAGATAGAGTAGATGGAGGGGAATGAGGAAGAGATAGAGTAGTTGTAGGAGGAAGAGGTGGGGATAGAGTAGATGGAAGAGGAAGAAGAAGAGGAGCAATGGGAGTAGATTAAGGAGAAAGAGGAAAGGTAGATTAGGTGGAGGAGCAAGAGAAGGAAGATGAGGGTATAGAGTAGATGGTGAAGGGAAAAGGAGGAAGAGAAGGGGATAGTGTAGACGGAGAAGGAAGAAGAGACGATATAGCAGATTGAGGAGGATGAGGAGGAGATAGAGTAGATGTTGGAGGAAGAGGAGGAGATAGAGTCGATGGAGCAGTAAGAGGACGGGATAGAATAGAAGGAGGAGAAAGTGGAGAGCATAGAATAGATGGAATAAAAAAGGAGGAAGAGGAAGTCATAGAGTGGATGGAGGAGGACGAGGAGAAAGAGGAGAGGATAGAATAGATGGTGGAGTAGTAGGAGATGATAGAGTAGATGGAGGAGCAAGGGGAAGGGATAAATTAGATGGAGGAGGAAGAAGAGGGTTTGGAGTAGATGGAGGAGAAAGAGGAGGGAATGGAGTAGATGTAGTAGGATGTTGAGAGCAAAGAGTAGATGGAGGAAGAAGAGGATGGGATAGAGTAAATAGAGGAGGAAGCGGAGGGAATAGAATAGATGATGGAGGAAGCGTGGGATAGAGTGAAGGGAGGAGAAAGAGGGGGTGATTAAGTAGCTAGAGGAGTGGAGGAGGAAGAGGTGGTGCAGAGTAGTTTGTGGAGGAAGTGGAAGGGATAGAGTCGATGGGGTAAGTAGAGGAGAGGATAGAGTAGATAGAGAAGGAAGAGGAGGGGATAGAATAGATTGTGGTGAAAGAGGAGGTGATAGAGTCGATGGAGGGTGAACAGGAGGTGATAGAGTACATGGAAGAGGAAGAGGAGAGCATAGAGTAGATGGTGGAGAAAAAGGAGTTAGAGGAGGGGATAGAGAAGATGGAGGAGAAAGAATAGGTGATGGAGTAGTTAGAGGAAGGGATAGAGTAGATACAGGAAGAAGAGGATGGGATGGAGTAGATGTAGGAGGAAGAGGAAGAAGAGGAGGGGAGAGAGTAGTTGGGGGAGGATTAGGGGATAGAGTAGATGGAGGAGTAAAAGGTGGGGATATAGTAGATTGTGGAGGAAGAGGAGGGTATAAAGTAGATGGATGAGGCAGAGGAGGGGATAGAATAGATTGTGGAGAAAGAGGAGGTGATAGAGTACATGGAAGAGGAAGAGAAGAGCATAGAGTAGATGGAGGAGAAAAAGGAGTAAGAGGAGCGGATAGAGTAGATGGAGGAGAAAAAATAGGTGATGGAGTAGTTGGAGGAGGTAGAGGAGGTGATAGAGTAGATAGAGAAGGAAGAGGAGGGGATGGAGTAGATGTAGGAGGAAGAGGAGGAAGAGGAGGTGATAGAGTAGTTAGAGGGGGAAGAGGAGAGGATAGAGTAGATGGAGGAGGAAGAGGAGGTGATAGAGTAGATGGAGGGGGAAGAGGAGAGGATAATATAGTTGGAGCAGGAAGAGGAGGAGATAGAGTAGATGGAGGGGGATGAGGAAGAGATAGAGTAGTTGTAGGAGGAAGAGGTGGGGATAGAGTAGATGGAAGAGGAAGAAGAGAAGGAGCAAAGGAGTAGATTGAGGAGAAAGAGGAGACACAGATTAGGTGGAGGAGCAAGAGAGGAAGATGAGGGTATAGAGTAGAGGATGAAGGGAAAAGGAGGAAGTGAAGGGAATAGTGTAGATGGAGGAGGAAGAAGAGATAATATAGCGGATTGAGGAGGAAGAGGAGGAGATAGAGTAGATGGAGGAGGAAGTGGAGAGCATAGACTAGATGGAGGAGAAAAAGGAGGAAGAGGAAGTCATAGAGTAGATGGAGGAGGAAGAGGAGAAAGAGGAGAGGATAGAGTAGATGGAGGAGGAAGAGGAGGCGTTAAATTAGATGGAGGAGGAAGAGGAGGGGTGGAGTAGTTGGAGGAGGAAGTGGAGAGCAAAGAGTAGATGGAGGAAGAGGAGGAGGGGATAGAGTAAATGAAGGAGGAAGCAGAGGGAATAGAGTAGATGATGGAGGAAGCGTGGGATAGAGTAGATGGAGGAGGAAGAGGGGGTGATTGAGTAGATAGAGGAGTAGAGGAGGAAGAGGAGGGGCAGAGTAGTTTGTGGAGGAAGTGGAAGGTATAGAGTCGATGGGGTTAGTAGAGGAGAAGATAGAGTAGATAGAGAAGGAAGAGGAGGGGATAGAATAGATTGTGGTGAAAGAGGAGGTGATAGAGTCGATGGAGGGTGAACAGGAGGTGATAGAGTACATGGAAGAGGAAGAGGAGAGCATAGAGTAGATGGTGGAGAAAAAGGAGTTAGAGGAGGGGATAGAGAAGACGGAGGAGAAAGAATAGGTGATGGAGTAGTTGGAGGAGGTAGAGGAAGGGATAGAGTACATACAGGAAGAAGAGGATTGGATGGAGTAGATGTAGGAGGAAGAGGAAGAAGAGGAGGGGATAGAGTAGTTGGGGGAGGAAGAGGGGATAGAGTAGATGGAGGAGGAAGAGGAGGGGATACAGTAGATTGTGGAGGAAGAGGAGGGTATAAAGTAGATGGATGAGGCAGAGGAGGGGATAGAATAGATTATGGAGAAAGAGGAGGTGATAGAGTACATGGAGGAGAAAGAGCAGAGCATAGAGTAGATGGAGGAGAAAAAGGAGTAAGAGGAGGGGATAGAGTAGATGGAGGAGAAAGAATAGGCGATGGAGTAGTTGGAGGAGGTAGAGGAGGGGATAGAGTAGATAGAGGAGGAAGAGGAGGGGATGGAGTAGATGTAGGAGGAAGAGGAGGAAGAGGAGGTGATAGAGTAG